TGGCCCTTGCCAAGGTCCTGCTGGCAGTCAATGAGTAAATCCAATGGGGTAAGAGCCAAGCAAGAAGCATTTCTTGTACCTCTGGAGTCATGCCCATGGCACAGACAAGGATGGCATCTCTGTCTCAGCCTCTCTCATGTGGCATTCCTTTTTCCTTCTCAAACAATCAGAGTTTCATAAGATTTTCCATCAGGTTTTAACAGATGCTGCTGCACAGCCAAAGGGAGGCAGGAGTGGGAGACCTGACTGACAACTGGTGCTGTGCCATCAGCATTTCCACGCCGGCGGAGAAGAGCATTATCCACTGGGAAGAGTCTTTTCACTCTTGTCTAATAGATCTGAAACTGGAAGACTGACAACTGGAAAATAACAACGGTGATAAAAGAGGAGCAACTCTCGGCGTGCGGAGCCTTGATCTGCACCAGCAGCGCCTCACGTGGAGCCTCTGCCGTCCCTGCCCGGAGGACAATGATCTCAGCACTGCTTCCCCCTCAGCAGGGGGGAAAACCCTGTTTCCAAGGGGCTCTTCACCCCCCCAGCTCAGCCTTACACTCCTCATTGCCCTGGGGATTAATAACAGGGCTGGGTCCCACAGGGTTTTTAAAAGGGTTTGTTACTTCACCACGTCTCCACCACATCTGTGGGATCTCCAGCAGTTTTTCATATTGGCCATTACACCTTTTGGTTGAGAGAACAGGGATTAATTGTTCATGGGCACTATCACCGAGCTAGTGGGCATAAAACTGGTTTTAATAAATCAGTTAATTTGCTAATCTAGATTTAAAAAGCTTCTAGTAGTGTTATGTGAAGACTATAAAAATGAGAGTTAGGCAAAGTATTTTATGCAGTATTTTTGCATCTCTGTTCTGCTCACTACAGTCCTCAGGAAATCTGCTGGGTCTTTAACAGCTCTGCTCCTCCTGATGATTTCTTTTAATTGCACATGCCACCAATAAAAATCTCCCGAAAATTAGTTCTCACCTGCTTCTGCTCTGATAATCTCTACCTACTATACAAATCGGTCTTAATGGAGCATTTGAGCCCCAGAGATCTATAATTATAGTATTAAGTTTCGTGTGCTCAGAGGTAGTAGCACAGACTGTATTTTACAGATCATGTGCAGAGTAAAATCGAAATCTGCAACAGATTGACACCCAGTAATGAAAATCCTTCTGAGGATGCTCTTGTTAATAACTAAACATCATTTGAGCCTCGCCACAGCAGGGATGACACTAAATAGGGCACCACATGGCATTGAAATCATAGAAAACACTTGTTACGTAAAACCTGCACAGAATTTTGGATCTTGCAGCTCACTTTTTGAGCACAGGTAGTTCACAGAGATTCTCTAGAGCTCCCAATCCATGGGAAAAGGCTGGAACAGGGTAGCTCCAGCTGCTGTGGGCCCTGTCAGCAGATCACAAGAGCAACTTGTAGCTGGTAGTGGACTGTTTCCCCACGGGAAGTCTCAGCGGAGAGAAAGTGGGATAATCCCGGTTGTGTTTTGAAGCCCAGCTCCCAGCCAGCAGGGATTCCCTATCAATGGAGCCATCTCACACTTTCTCTCCTCACTAAAGGGGAATTAAGAGAGACCTGAGGACTTGCAGGTCCTCCTGGCAGAGGGTCCCTAATGCTTGCATGCCCCGGAGGTGACTGAATGGATGCAGCAGGGATAAAGGATTCCCAACACCTACCAGCAGTCATAGGAAAAATGCATATATATACATATAATGTGGTGCCAAACTAAAATCCAAACTATTTCAGTTATTTCTGAAGTCAGTGAGGGTCTTGCCACTGGTTTCAGTGGGACTGAGACTGGTGTCTCTTTATGGGTATTTTTTACCATGGGCATGAATATATACGCATATTTTATATTTAGATATTTTATATTTGGCTATTTTTATATGGATTTTTTTTAATATATGGATATTTTTATATATGAATTTTTTTTTATATATGGATATTTTTTACCTGGTATTTCCAAAGAACTTGCCAACGATTTCATCAGCCCCAGTATTCAATTCATCTCTTTTTTTTCCCCCTGTACCAGTGCAAGGAGATGATTTTTAATGCAATTAAAAAAAAACAAACAAAACCCAAAAAACAAACCACCCTTTTGCAGTTGGGGAAACCTGTTCCAATTCACCAAAGTGTTCTTTTGATAGAAATAAATACAACCCCCCTTGTTGTAAACGGGGTGCAGGTTGGTCCTGCAGCCTCTGAAAATGGGCATTCCATCTGTCCCAGCGGCAGATTTGTTCAACTATGTCTGAACCTATCACTGCTCGGGGGAAAAACTGTTCCCTGACTCATGTTAATGTATGAATCTAATTGTATCCCCACGCAGTTTGCAGCTTTCATTGCCCATTAGGAACATTACCATCATACACCGAGTCCTGGTAGATGTATGGTCTTTATACACTGCATAATGTCCACAGATCTCTGCTGGCAGCTAAGAAAACACAAAAGAATAGAGGATATTTTGAAGTTTTGTGGAGTGGTGGTTTTTTTTTTTCTTTGAGATTGAAGTCCAGTGTCTTGGGACCCAGTGACTTTAGATGACCTTCCGCCTCCATGGACTGTACTAAATTTCAGCCCCTGGAGGCTCCTCCATACAAAACCTCCTGGCTTTCAAGGGCAGGTGCAAGCAAAGCTTCACTGCGTCACAGATCAAGACCTGTTACTGCCAGAATTAGATTTCACAAATCTCTTTTATTGAACAGGACATCATTAAGGAACTTGCCCCATACTGCTGGATGGTGTCTTTAATTAATATAAGTATTATGCTGCTATTAGGCTTTCCAAACAATAACATTTCCTTTTCAGCAGTTGTAGTCACCGAGAAACAGAGGTGGGTGTGTGTCTGTATAGAAAAGCACATGAAAATTGAGTTAAAGAAATATGTATCTGTATTGCAGGCTCAGGCACTCAAAAAGGAGGAAATGCTGACACTGATGTGTCTGTGCAAACTTAATTCAGCTCCTCTCCTTCTTTTTTTGTGGCAATTATATGATCCCAAATTATGTTTTTGATAATATCCCCGCCTTCTTCATTACACAGGAGGGTTAACTTTCAGGCAGAGATTTTGCCTGTGTGATGAACGGCTTCTCAGAGCTCTGCCTGATGCTTTCAGTGTCTGCACTTCGCCTTTTCTGCTGCACAGTGTATGATCATGTCCTGAAGAATTCCTTCTTGGGCTTTTACAGCAGCCCCGAGAACCCGAGTGCTCTGAAAGCTCTGCTTAATTAAATCATTAAATTCACTGGTGATGTGAGGGGATGGTGGTATCCCAATTAAAGATGGGAAACAGGCATGGAAAAGTGAAACTCAATTAATTCTGCTGATCCTGGGCTGTCCCATCAGGGATGTGTAGGAACGGACTTATTTGGGCTTGTACAACTCAATCTATCCAGAAATCCATCTTCTTTCCCCACAAACACCCTGATAACTGCCCATACAGCTCCCACTCACCCATGTTTTGGAGGTGGCTGTAGGGACGTGGTTGAGCTGCCTCATTTCCCCCGTAAAACAGGGCAAAGAGGATAAAAGTGTTGCTTTTCAGGGTGTGTGTGTGCTCAGTGCAATAGGGGCAATGCTGAAGAGGGGGAGGATGGAGCCAGGAACAGTAGAAGCCCTTCAGCAAGGCAGGATTTTGGGGGTCAGAGGGCTCCCCCATTACACACAAGTAAAGAAGTGTGGAAAGTTTGGGATTTTGCAACAGTGGAGCTGATTTCCTGGAGGGGATGGACCTGCTCTAGTCCCAGTCTCTAGCTGAGAGCCAGAGCTGTGCCAGAGCTGGTGCTGAGGCCATGAGATGCACCTTTGGCCACCCTTTCTCCTCTCCCTGCATGGGAGTGACTGGGGAGAGGATCCATCCCACCCTGTGACTTGAGGACGGGGGGCACCCCAGGCCAGCCAAGTTCTGCCAGTGCTGCAGGTTCAAGCAAAACCAGGAGCTCTGTACCCTGTTCAGGGGAGCAGCACCTTCTCCTTGCTCCAAATCCCTCAGAACCTTCCAGCTCCTGCTACGAACCAGGGCAAGGACAGCCCTGAACATCAGCACTGCTGTGTCACCGCTCTGCTCCTGTGCTCTGCTCGCATCTCCTGAACATCTCTAATCCCTTCCCTGTGAGACTTGGGGGCCAGCTGATGTCTGCAGGTAGCCACGTGTGTCTGTGGCCAGCGGGGTGTCAGAAGTGCTGGCTGCTGCTTTGGGGTGATCCCTTCCCTTCCATCCCAGTCTCCTTCCGAGGAGAGTTTAAGAAACAAAACTCCAGAAATTCAGTACAAACGTTAAAAATTTTATTTACAGGGTAAAAGTACGATTTCTTAAAAAAAAAAACAAAAACAAACAAAAAAACAAACAACAAACCAAAACAAAACCAAACCCCCACTTTGATAAGAGGTATAATAATAGAATAAAGCTCTTTATGTACAAAAATACAATTTTCATATGAATGAACATCTTGAATAAATTAACCCGCTCTCTGGTCCAGTCGCTGAATACCCCGTGTCTGCTCCCACTCTAAAGCAGCCCGGCCGCGCTGGGGGTCAGCATCTATAATGCATGAGCCCCTCCGCTGTCCGCCGGGTGCGGGGTCCCATCGGGGCCGGTGCTGGGACCCCCGGCAAGGGCTGAGCCGCCCCGGGGCAGGGCCGGGGGGACGCGCTGAGCCCCGCGCTGCGCCCCGGGCCGCATCGGCCCCTTAAGCCTTTTCATGGCATTGTCAGGGCGTTCAAACCAAATTTTCATGCTCGTTTTTCTTCGCTGGAGAGCTACAAATTGTAAAATTGACTTTTCACCTCGTCTGCGGCAGCAAATCTGTCGCTTTTCTTCTCTCCCCGTTTTTTCGGAGCGGCGCGGGAGGCGAGGCGGGGGTCGGGGGGGAAGGGGCCGGGGATGGGGCGGAGGGGGGTGTGTGGAGTGATGAAAAGTGCAACGGGACGAGGCACCCCCCCCATCCCTCCTCGTCCTCCGCCGGGGGCGCGGGCGGTGCGCGCTAGCGGAGGGGCGCGCCCGGAGCCGCGGGGAGCCCGCGGAACCCCCGCAGGCTGTCGGCCGGGGGGTAAGCGCAGTCCTCGGAGGTGGCCGGGCTGCTGGGGCCCGAGGCGGAGGCGCAGAGCGAGGGGGCGGACGGCGAGGCGCTGGACAGCCACGACCCCGCGTCGCTGCCGGGGCTGGGGGGCGCGGCGGCCCCGCGGAACGGGCCGGGAGGGGGGAGGCACTGCTCGGCCAGGCGGAGGGTCTCGGACAGCGCCCAGATGTAGTTGTAGGCGAAGCGCAGGGTCTCGATCTTGGTGAGCTTGGTGTCGTCGGGGAAGGTGGGCAGGACGCTGCGGAGCTCGTCCAGCGCGGCGTTGAGGTGGTGCATGCGGTTCCGCTCGCGGTCGTTGGCCTTGACCCGCCGGCTGCGCTTCAGCGTGTGCAGCAGCGCCTCGGTCCGCGCCCGCGCACGGCCCCGCCGCCTCCGCCGCTCCCGCGGAGCGCCGGCGTCCGCGCCCTCGCCGCTGCCGGGCGCCTCGGAGGGCATCCTGCGGGAGAGAAGCCTCGTCACTGCGGGAAGGATGGACGGGGAGCGAGGGGGAAGGTGCGAAGATGCCGGGGAAGGGGTGGGGTGGGGGGGAAGGATAAAATAAATATAACTAAGAGGGGTGGCGGTGCGACTGCTTGGCAGGTGCCGGCGCTCCCGTACTCACATGGAAAAGGCACTCCCGGGGATGATGTTAAAGAGATAACGGTATGAAAACACAGAGAGGAAAAAGCCGCCGCGGGGGGAGGCAGAGGGGACTCAGCGCCGAAGGAAAAAAAAAAAAAAGAGAAGAAAAAAAAAGAGAAGAAAAAAAAAGAGAAGAAAAAAAAAGAGAAAGAAAAAAAAAAAAAAAGGAAGCCAAAGCCCTGGGAAAGGCGGGGCGGGGGGGGACACGCGACCGCGCGTGGCTTTGAAGTGCTGCGGGCTGCGATCCGCTCGTGTGAGCGGCGGCTTTGGCACACGACGGCGCGGCCGCCCGTTCTTATAGCGGCGGGCGGACAATGGCCCCGTGGCCGCCCCGCGGGGCCGCGCCGAGGCGGCAGGTCGGCCCCGTGCGCCGCGCCCTCCGGAGCGTGCCCGCAATTACCGCGGGCGGCCGCGCATCTGCCGCGCCCCCGGGGGACGGGGGAGAGAGGGGAGGGGGGGGTGTCCCCCCCGCTTTGTCCCCCACCCCCCCGTGTGCGGGCAGCACAAAGCGGGGCAGGGGGGTCGGGGCTCAGCGCGGGGGGTGGAGGGGTCACCGTCCCACTCCGGCCGCGGGGACTCCGGAGTGAGTTTAAACCGCTGCGAGAGGGGGGCTTGGGGGGGAAAAAAAATAAAAAATTAATCTGGACTTCCAGAGGATGAGCCGTGGATTATTCCCCAGCCAGATGCGGGGGGACAATTGTCATCAGGTTTTCCTTGCGCCTTGTGTTTTTTTCTAGGGGAAAATGCTCTGAAACGGTAAAACTCGAAGCAGGTATTTTTCTCTCCTGCGTTTCTGAGGCGAATGTGGACACGCGGTCTGGGTTTTGTGGGCTCCGCTTTGAAAAGGGGTTTGCAGGTGTTCAGAAAGTTAAAAGTTCCAAAGGACATTTACTTTATAAACTTCGGTGGTTGTATTCATAATACACGTACAATGTATAAACACGCACACATATAGATATATACACACACAGTGTATATGCAATGTACAGATAAAATTCTTATTTTTCTGGATAAAAACAATGAAAACTGCACTGTTTTGATTGTAAAGTTCTTGCTGCCTCTGCTAATCCCCATTCAGTGCCTGGGCATCACTACCTCACGCTTTGGGAAGCCACAGCTTTTCAAGTGGCTGAAAAGTTTCCTAATTCTGACATCTGGCTCTTTACATCCTGCCCTCGGTGCTGCGAGGAAGCCCCGTTGCCAGCACTCAGGTACTTGTCTCCCTGGAAGGTTTGTTTTCGGGTTCACCACCCATCAATTGCCATTTTCAGGTGCCTGTGCCTAAACTCACACGTATTTACATGATTTCCCCTCACAAGTACTGTAGATTGAGTCCCCCTCCTTCGATTTTCTCCCATCCCTTGGATAAACAGGGAAAAATGACAGCATGAATTATTGTCCATCTCTGCATTTTGAGTTCACAGCAACCATTCTTCACTCCAACCTGAGTGAGGAGTTTGCTATCGAAGTTATTTCTTCTGCTTCCCACTCTCCTGGCTTTGAGATGACCCAACGACACCGGCAAACTGCCCCAAACAACCTTCTTTGTGCCAAGAAGATCACGCACAGAAGTGAGCAATCCAAAAAGCCCTGGGTGATGAATATTAACAAGTCTCAAACTAGAAGTAGTTTGCCAGCCCCGAGCTTTCAGGATCAGCTCTCTTTCTGCTTTTTAACATCTTTATATGCTTGGCTCTGCAATATACCCACGTAAGGCCAGGCGACGGGGGCCTGGCTGTTCCCGGCAGGGACTGGGCTCTCTCAATCACCGGACCTGCAATCAGGCTGAAGTTTTTAGGGCCTTTGCATACATAAATGACTTTCTTCGCTAAGTAGTTCCACTTCACTGAGCTACTCATGTCCTTAAGTGACGGCACAATTAGAGGCCTCGGCCAGCAGGCAGAGATCGGCCCTGGAGTTTCCAGCGCCAACCAGGAGAAAGAAGGCACCAAAATTTAAAGGTTATGGAAGCATATGGCAAAAAATGTCCAACTTTTGTTACTGTGCACTTTGTATATAGGGAGATAAACTCCAGTGTTGTCTGCAACACTTTGATTGTCTTTTGTTTAGGTGTCTTTGAGCAGTCAATAGTTTATTCATTAAAATGTTTATGATTCCCCAGAGTTTCACAGACTTTGGCACAACCGATCACTTGTCTGAAAGTTTGCGGTGAAAGCGCATTATTCATTAGTCCTTATCCATCATTTGCAGTTTGTCATTTGTTATTCTCTTGTTTTAAAAGTTTGTGCTCCAATCAAGGAGGGGAGAGAGCACCATGTGTCTCCGTGATCAGTCACAGCCATGAATAGCCAGGGCTGAAGTGAATGTTTCACAAACAACCCATAGGCTGAAATTTGTTTGCATAATCTATTCACTGCGTACTTATGAATAACGAATGCATTCACAGAACCAGAATTGTTTCAGGAAGCCTTCGCAAACAGAAAGAAGTGCTAAATATCTTGGATAATTTATTCCCGATGAATAATTCAACCGGTTCTATCGCGGGCAGTCTACTAATTTTGCAGATAAATTATTCAGCCAACACAGATAATAGCTCTTACACCTTATGGGCCTGCCCCTATGGAAGTCAGCTGCTGAAGTTTCCTGAAGTTTCCTGGGATTGGGAAAGAAAAAGATTCCGAAATGGAACAGGACCATTGATTTCAAGGAACACAGAGTGTGCTCCCAGCATCTCACTGATGGCCTCATTCTGAGTTTTAGCCTTTGATATTAACTTTTCCACCTTGATGTAAGTGCAGTTGGGCTCAGATGGACTCAGGCATGTTATTAGTTTCATATTTTGAGCTCTAAGGAAGTGTTGCATCATTTGCTTTGAGATACTTTACAGCACTTAAAAAAAGAGAGGAAAAAAGATTCAAACAGATTTAACACTCGTGAGGCCTCGAGCACCAAGCTCGTTCCTCTGCCCTCGTGTTGAGACATCATGAGTGGACTCCAGAAAAAGTAGGAATTCATGAATAAAGGTGGAGGAAAGGCTTTTGGAGAAAATGTGCTCCCAGGTGCCTGGCACTGCTCTCTGGATGCACTGTTTCCTTCACGGAGAGAGCCAGTCAAGGAGAAGATGCCATTCCCTGGTAAGTGTTTGTTGGACCTCGTAAAGGTAAATAAATCTCCATGTTAGGAATCATCCTCACACTTCAAAACCAACCAGAATTATGATCATTAGGGCAGTGTTAGCATCACTCTTCTCTCCAAGATTGGAAATGAGTGGTTCCCAGTAAAACTGCTCCCTCAGCAGAAGATGCCTCAGAGAAGTCAAAGGCACATAATTTTTTTCCAGGTCTTAAGATGCACATCACTGCAGCAACTCAGCAAACTCTGTCTTTTGTTACTTTAGTGCTTGAGGGCTTAAACTAATATTGGGATGAGTGTCGAAACAATGCATCAATCAGGAGAACACTGCTTTTTTGCTCCCTCGTGTTTGAAAGCATGGCCAGAAAGGGAAGGCAGAGCTGCCTGTGGAGGATGCTTGAACTAAATTTAGAGAGGTGACATGGCTGGCGGTAAAACCATCACCTGGGAGCAGAAAGTTTGACCTTGCAGGAGGAAAGGAAGGATCAGGCTCACTCATCCCTAGGGATGCCCAGGTTGATGCAGCAGGAATTTTAAAGACAGGTAGAAAACTAGAAGACTGTTCAGTGGGGCAGCCCACTTGTCTCCTTGTGCTGGTCTGGACGTGGTGCAGAGCACAGTGACTTCTTGTCCAGCCTGGGTGGGGACAGATGAGTGGTGAGGGCTGTGAGGGCAGGGATGGACACATGGAGCTGTGCTCCTGGGACTCCTCACCCGGCTGGAGTCGCCTCACAGCCCCCGGCCCGAGGCTCACGGAGGGCTCAGGGCTTGGTCCTGTGGCTGCTGACCAGTGGACAGCCCGGGAAGCCCAACATTTGGAAGGGCTCTCAGCCTGCAGGGAGGCAGCATTAACCCTTCTGGAGCAGGAGCTGGCTGTCCTGCCAGGGAAACCCCTTGGGAGCAGCTCAAGAGCTTTGTCTCTAAAGGATTTGGCCTCCTCTCCTACCTGCCTGTGGCCAGGGTGAGGCCTCAGGCTGTTTGCCAGGGGCCACTGGTGGGTGGGGAGCACAGGGACATCACAAGGAGTCCCCATGTACCGGGGAATCCTGGCCCTGGGGAGCCAAATCTGCTCCAAAATCCTGCACAAGCTCCTGGGAGTTGCAGTCAGGGCTCAACCCCTCCTGGGGGCTCTGCACAAACAGTGAGAATGTTTTATTTTCAGGTTTTAAATGTGTGATGTAACATTTTCCTTCTTTTTGGAAGGGGAAGGGGGGGTCGAGTAGGTAAACGATTGTTCCCTGCAAGCACAAATGTATTTTGTTTGTTGTAATTAAAATGTTTTAATGAGACAACCATAAAATCAACCATTAATTATTTTTTTTCAAACACTTCTGCTTCCTTTTGAGCCAGGTCTATTTAGAAATAGTTTAGAGAGTAGCCTGCAGTTTTATTCTTTCTGTGGTATTATACACAGGAGTGGAGAAGTCATTTATAAATAATTACACAATGTTTTGGGTCTTTGGGTTTGTATAATATATCAAAGCGATTAGTACACGCATTGTTCCATTGTAAATGGTTTTTTTCCCTTCCTTTCAGTTTCACTTGCCTTGTCTTCTATCTAAACCTTTTTCGTGAAATCCTTTGTCTTCCTCATTCTTTTAGCTTGTTACAGTGCAGGGACATTCTTCTTATTCAAACACTCACAGCATGAGCAAAGAAAGCTACTTCTGTCGCATCTTAAGTTTTACCATAACTTTCTGGCATTTTCTTTTCTTCTGATT